CACCAAGTACAGCTGGTTTTTGCTGATGAGACCGGGAACAAGGCCCCAGCCCATAGTGAAGAACAGGAATTGGGGGGGGCGGGGGGAGCATGGCCCCACACTTCAGGGACCTCCTCACCAGGCCTGAGCCCGTCTGTGACTGGGCCACATCAGCCCCACCAGGCACAAGAGGCCTGCCCCTGTCTGAGGCAGTGAGCAAAGTGGCTCCCACTCAGAACCAGCTCCTGCTGTGACAGCCAGGTCTGGCTCCAGACTGCCCAGGACCAGGGGGGGTCTGTGCGTTTGTGAGCTGCTCTCCCCCTCCCCCGCCACCCCCCCTACCTGCTCAACCTCCACACCCCCGCTCCCTCTGAGCTCTGTGGTTCGGGAGAAAGGGATGGGGTGGTTTGGATCCGGCTGGGACTGGGGACCAAGTGCAGGAGAGTCAGCCTTTCATCTTGGCTTTGTAAGGCAACCCCCCCCTCCCCCCCCCGCAAGCCCGAAGCTGGCTGGCATTGCACCATAAACCTCCAGGATGCTGCAGCTGTGACTGGATTATTTATAGCTCCGGTCTTCTTTTCTAACACGGAAACATCACACAAAGGGAAAGGTAATGAAATCTCACCTCTCCTGCTTGTCCCTCACTCCGAACGGCAGGGCTTTCCAGAAGCCCTAGTGGCTGAAGAAGCAGGGGAGAGGCCCGCTGCCCTCCCCCCCTGCACCGCCTCCTCTCCCTCCTTCGCTGTCAGTCACACACACACATTCCCCTCTCGCGGGGTCCCTCACCTCGCTTTCTCTCTCACGCGTACAATTCCTCACAGAGGCAATTCTGGTCCCTCTCCCTCCCTCTCAGCTCTGCCTGCCCGCGCCCTTCGCGTCCCCCGGACACATTCCACACATCTTGCCCTTTTTCTCCCATCACGGCTGTCTCCCTGTGACTCACTCCCTTCCTTGTATGTTTGCTTTTTGCTTTGTCAATGAAGAAGCTGGCACATTAATTACCAGCCCGGTCCTCTGAGAGGCACATCAGCATCTTGTCAATAGCGGGTGGAGGTGTCATCTTGCTCTGCCTTGAAACTCCCGTGGGCACTGTCTCCCCAGGGGGACCCATTCTGTGGCACGTGGCAGGGAGGACACACATCCCGGGCTTGACACACACAGACACACAGAAAACAGGCCACAGAACACGCCTCTCACTCTGCAGGAGGGAGCATCTAAGGATGTGCTCTGCAAATCGGATGCCAGGCTGCGTGGGGGATTTACGGCGCCGAGGACGAGCCGTTCCTCCTGCCTCCTGGGTTACTGTCTCGATGGTGTTACACCATCCCACAGGCACAAATCAGAAACTCTGAACCCTGTGCAGGCTTCTGTGCAGAGCCAAGGCTCAGCCCCCTCCCCGCCTGGCCCCCTCAGCCCCTCTGGCCCAGGCCCACAGAAGAATAATCGGAAATCAGTACCTCCCACAGCCACCCAGCCTGACATAGACCCCGACTCACTTCCATACAGACAGTCACAGTGAATGGGACTCTGTGTGTGCTGGGATTCAAGGAAGTCACAGACTATGACAGCTCACCCTGGGCTAGGGGCTGAGGAGGGGGCCTAGAGACAGAAACCCTACAACCCACCATCACATCACGGTGGCATTTCCTGAAAATCTCTCCCCTTTTTTAATATTAAGAATTCATCTGGCCCTAGCCGGTTTGGCTCAGTGGACAGAGCGTTGGCCTGCGGACTAAAGGGTCCCAGGTTCGATTCTGGCCAAGGGTACATGCCTGGATTTCGGGCTAGTTCCCCAGTAAGGGGCATGCAGGAGGCAGTCAATCAATGATTCTCTCTCATCACTGATGTTTCTATCTATCTCTCACCCTTCCTCTCTGAAATACATACATATATGTATTTCTGGGACCCCTCAGGGGATGTCGGACTGCCGGTTTTGGCCCAATCCCCGCAGGCCAGGCCGATGGGGTCCCTCGTCCTGGCCTGCACCCTCTCGCAATCTGGGACCCCTCAGGGAATGTCCGACTGCCGGTTTTGGCCCAATCCCCGCAGGCCAGGCAGAGGGACCCCACCAGTGCACGAATCATGCACCAGGCCTCTAGTATGCATATAATATCTTTGGTTAATCTCTTCCCACCCTCCCCTCTCCCCCCTTCCCTCTGAGATTCATCAGTCTGTTCCATGTTTCCATGCCTGTGCATTGAGCATCTGCCCTGGTGGTCAGTGCACGTCATAGCTACCGGTCAAACGGTCAGACACTTAGCATATTAGCCTTTTATATATATAGATAACATGTCTGTTTCATCGCAGTATAAAAATGTCTTGCCCGGCCAGTGTGGCTTGGTGGTTGCACATCGACCCACAAACCAAAAGGTCACGGATTCAATTCTAGGTCAGGGCACATGCCCAGGTTGCAGGCTCAATACCCAGTAGGGGGCATGCAGAAAGCAGGTAATCAATGTTTCTCTCTTATTGATGTTTCTAACTCTCTATCCCTATCCCTTTCTCTCTCTCTAAAATCAATAAAAATATATATATTTTAATGTTTTAAATTAGCTATAATGAAATATTTATTTTTTTCTGAAATCGTTACTTAATATTGACCTTCCTGGACTCAAAAACCCACTGGCTTATCCTGAGACTCTGAGGGCGCAAACACCCCAGTGGAAGATCTAGGGCACTAGTCTCTGGGGTAAGGATATGGGTATGAATCCATAGGGTGAGGATAAGAACAAGACTCTTGGATTTACATCCTGGCTTTGCCAATTGTTAGCTGTGTGATCTTCACCAAACCACTTAACCTCTCTGTGCTTCAGAACCTTGGCCATAAAATGGGCACAATTATAGTACCTATCACACAGGGCTTTTATGAAGATTAAAGGCATTCATGTATTTAAAGTGCTTAGAACAGCAGCTGGCACAATAGAGATGTTTATAATTATTTTTCTGTGGAAGACAACACGGTCACCAAATCAACCACAGGGACTGAAATTGGAGCTCATTCCTGCCTCCCTCCTAGGACTTGCTTCTGTCCCCAGGGCCTGTGCCCCCCCTCCCGCTGCAGCCGCTGATCATGCATTCCATCTGCAAGACAGTCAACAACTGCTATCCTGTTCCAGGCATTGTGCTGGGTCGAGGGTCAGTGTCTCAAAAGACCTTCTAGAGGGGGAGGCAGAAATATACAAGCAACATTTTGACCATATTCCAAATTGAAGACCCAAAGAAGAATAAATGTCATTCCCTCTTTCAAAGAGTTCCTGCCTCGCTGCAGGGAGCAAGAGAGGCAGACAGATTAAAGAGGTGAATGCAGCTCAGTGCGATTCTGATGATATTGTCCAGCGGCCTGGAACACACTGCCTCCTGTATATATCAGGTCTCTTTCCTCATGTCACCTCACCTGCAGGGCCTTCCAGAACCACCTGTATGTAAAAAATAACGACACTCTCCCCATCCTGTCAATCCTGACCTCTTACCACCACCTGACATATTTAGATATGTCTTTAAAATATATACATATATATATGTATATATATATATATAATTGATTTCAGAGAGGAAGGGAGAGGGAGAGAGAGAGAGAAACATCAATGTTGAGAGAGAATAACTGATCAGCTGCCTCCTGCACACCCCCTACTGGGGATCGAGCCCACAACCCGGGCATGTGCCCTGACGGGGAATCGAACTGTGACCTCCTGGTTCATAGGTCAATGTTCAACCACTGAGCCACACTAGCTGGGCTAGATATATGTCTTTGTTGGTGGTTTTCCCTACCAGCATGTAAGCTTCCTGGGTGGGTGCAGTACCTTAGCTCTGCTTCCTCCTGAATCCCCTGTGCTTGGAGTAACAATTGGAAAGTAGTAGCTGGCCCATAGGTGGCTGTTAAACTGTGGGCAAATCACTCTTCAGTGTCTTGACTTTCCCTTTGATGGAATTAGTGAGGAAACCTCACTCTCACTTGCCCCACTGGGAAACTATAACTTGAAAAGAGGTCATACATGATTATCAGACATGCTTGTGACCTGCCCATAGATAGATGCACATGAATTCAGCTGAGACCAAATCCACGCATGGCTCTGCAGTCCCTGCTATTTCAGCAATGAGGAGGGGCTGTGCTCAGAAGCCCACCAGACGTGCCCACTCCTCAGGCTCTGCTCTGAAGTTGGTCTATCTAGTCCTGGAAATGGTGTACACGGGCTCCTCCAGGCTCAAGTGCAGGTAAAACCTGGGAATTCCTCTTCCCTCTGCAGTGAACTCCTCTTCACTTGTCAAAACACAAGCCAAATTGCCCAAACTAAAGCCGTTACCTCTCTATTACCAAGTTGTGGGTTTCTGGAACTTTTCCCCGCTGGACTGTGAGCATATCAGTGACAAGGACTTTGGCTTATTTATGACCACATTCTGAATGCTGAAGAAATGATCATTGGCCAGATGACCAGACAAAGCAAGGACAATCCATGTTTCCTGCCTCTGGGAGCCTGATTTCAGCTCTCATTCCTCCCACATAACTCAGACGTCAGCTTGGCTGAGGGGGCTGGACGTTCCTGTTTGGCAGGGACAGTTCCTTGCTTCAACCAGATTGGTATCTACCCCAAGTTCCTTTTTGTTTATATTCTGGGGGCTGGGGATGAGGGAAGTGATTACAGAAGCCAGGGGGGGCTGTGTCATTCATTCTGTGGCGACCCCCTCCTCCTAAGGCCATGGGCCCCTGGCGAAGGTTGCTCACCTCTTCCCCCAGCCTCTAATTTCCCCACAGCCCCGGGCTGATTCTAAACAAGAATCCCAACAGGTGTGGCCTGTCAGCTTTCCAGACAGCCAGGAGCCCCTCCTCTTCAGCGGTGGAATCAGCTGGGAAGGGAATGTCACTGCCCCTGTGGACTAACAGGCCCTGGGGCCCAGCACTCTGGCAGGGCGCTGGGTGAATTCTACCCTGAGGTCATGTGAGCACCTGCTCCTCCCTCGGCAGCCTGGCAGAGCCAGTTTCTCGACTCTCCCCAGGGCACAGGCAAAGCAAACACCCCACCCACCTGCGGCCTCTCCACAGCTCAGGAGTCTCAGGGCTCTGGAACAAAATTCACTTCACCAACAACCTCTGGCCTTCGGCTTGTCATCCCACAACTGCCTTTACTAACCCTGAAAGCGGAGAGATAGGGAGATAACAGGCTCAGTGTGTCATAACGGACAGCTATAGATGACTTGACAGTTTACAATCATCGATTGTCGCATTTGATCCCCTTTGTCATGCTGAGCAGGGCTGTTGAGGACAGGACATGGTGGCCATCCCTCCTTCATAGAGCAGCCAGGAGTTGGAGCCGCTTCAAGAGCAGGTAACACACACAACGCTGAGAAGGAGGCACTATTCTTCCTGCTTGACGGAAAAGTGAAAGCTCTGAGATCACTAGTACAGAAGAGATTTGAACCCTCTTCTGTCCGATCCCAGAGCCTAAATGAGCTCCTTCCAAATACCCCATCTCTGATTTTACAGCCTTTGCTAGGGGAACACTTGCTGAGGAAGTAAACACATAACCTTAATCCCCCAGCATGAAGGGGACCACGCTAACCTCTCCCCCAAAGGGCTAGAGGGCGAAGGACATCAAACTCCACTCTCAGCCTCTCTCCCTGCTCCCAGTCTACAACCAGAGCTGGGTTGTGAGGTTGTGGAGCTGCAGGAGGGAGGGAGACCAGCTCCAGCCCCAGCTCAGCTGATCTAAGACCTGGAGCGCGAGCCTTCAGCCGCTGGGCTCCTGGGCTCATCTCTAGGACGGAAGCGCCCACAATGCTTTGCAGGGCTATTTGAAGGCTTGGAAGTCACACAGGGGAAATGCCTGGCACTCATGAAGGGCTCAGGATCCACTCATTCCTTTCCTTCTCTCCCCTGGAATGTGACATTTCCTTCAGAAAACATCTCATCTCCAGCTTTGGTTTATTACCAGGAGGAATGCAGGGCTTCAGATGCTCTGTGCTGGGCACTCAATGAATGCCTGTCCCTTGGAGAGGTGAGAGGGAGACCAGCTGGACGGGCACTGGGGGAGGGGAGACAGAGCTGAGCAGAGAGTGGACAGGGGTGGGCGGGTGGAGATGTGGAGGTGCCCTCTGACTCTCAGGCCGTGCTCAGGGGAGGAGCAGATGGGCGACAGAGGGTGGTCCCTCAGGTCTCACTCAGGGAAATGGGAGGCGTGGGCGAGGCCAAGAAGGCTCTGTTCCACCTGCCACTTGTTTGCTGGTGGCCCTGGGGAAATGGCCCGCTCTTCCCTTCCTTTTTTTATTTATTTTTATTCATGAGGATATATGTTGTCCATTTGTTTTCAGAGAGAGTGGAAAGGAGGGAGGGAGGGAGGGAGGGAGAGAGAGAAAGAGAGAGAGAGAGAGAGAAACATCTATGTGTGTGGGACACATGGACCTGTTGCCTCCTGCACATGTCCTGACCAACCAGGGGTGGGGAGCGAACCAGTGACTCTTCCATGTAAATGGGCCAATGCTCTAACCACTGAGACGCTGGCCAAAGCTGCTCTTCTCTTTCTAGGCGTTTTCTCTCTGCAAAGTGTTCTGCAAGGTCCCTCCCACCTGGAATTTTCTAGCGTGCTCCAATCAGCCTTCTCCGGGGCAGGTCCTGACAGTGCTCAGGAGGCCTGGTCTTCCTGCTCAGCGACAGCCTTCTGCCGCCTTCTTAGTCTCCCACCACTGCACCCTCCTGCCCTCTCCTTCTCAGACACGCGGGGTTTATTTTTAACCAGAGTTTGCAAGTAAGATCTGGAAAAGCCAGTTGCAGAAGTTCCTGCAGTTGCTCCCTCCCTCCCTCACAGTGGGAGGGTGAGTCCTCTGGGGCAAGGAGATCTGCCCAGAGGTGTGGAGTGAAGGGCAGCAGACCTGGGGACTAACACGGCTGGGTCTTCCTTAACCAGCTGGAGGACTGACTGGCCCTGGCTGAGCAGGTGGGAAGGTGAGGGAGGGTGGGGTGTGGGGAGGGAGGGGAAGAGGTGGAACCTTTGGGCTTCCTGATGTCACCTCCCCAGCAGGGTCTGATTGGCTCAGGGCTTCCCTCTCCCCTGGGGAGTCTCTGGGCAGAGTGGCCCATTGCCCTGTTACTGCAGGCCAGGCCTTTGTCCTGCTCTGGCACAGGGGACGGGGCAGGCAAGGCCAAGTTACCCAATAGGCAGATTAAGCATGTGTTTAGGGCACTGGCGGTAAAAGGGCATCAACAAAGTGTTTGATTTGGTTTGTTTGTTTTTTAAGGTCTGATTCTCAGTATTTCAAAATAGTAAGGAAGTAGTCATCCTGGGGAAAATCAGAACTTTGTGGGACTTCCTCAGACAGATTATAAGGTTTAGGGTGGCTTTTATTTTGAATTTTATGTGTGTGTGGGGGGGGGGGTACACTTTAGCCTCTCATCTCTCAGGGCTGCTAAAGGTCTTAATCCAGCTCAGGGTAAATCAAGGATCAGAAGCCCAGGGGCGGGGCGGGGAACAAGCAGGTATTGAGAGGAAGGAAGCATGTGGCCTCAGCCCATAGCTGTATCCCCTGGAGGGGGAGGCCTCTGGACAGAGGGGGCGCTGCCCTACGGGGTGAGGCCTGCATTAGAGTATGCAGATTCTGGGGGAACTAAGGTGTGACCAGTGTCGGGGAGTGAGGGGCAGGATCACCGAGGGCCCTGGAGCAAAGCCCAGCAGCCTGGACCGGACCTAGAATTTGTTCTCCCTCTGCTCACTCTGGAAATGGCAAGGCTCTGGCCCAGACGTGGCCAAAGGTGTGGCCCCTTTGGAAGGGGAGCTGGCAGCCCACTTCCTGGACGATGGTTCCACGGATGGCACCTCTGGAGGGCACAGCAGACTCCTGTGCTGTAGAGTAGGAGCAACTGCCTTTCTGGCCCAGCCAAGCACTCAACAGCAAACATCTGCGAAGCATCTACTATAAGCCAGGCACTTTCCAGGTATCACCTCATTTAACCCTCATACCACCTGTGCTGCGGTGCCTGCACTTCCATCCTGCAGATGGGGAAACAGGCTCAGAGATGTCCAGCACCTACCGAGGAGCGCGCCCCTAGCTCGCGGCAGGGTAAGGATGCGGACCCAGCTGTCTGACCGCGTCCAGCATGCTGGCTTCAGTACCACCCATCTCACCCCTGCCCCAGGCCTCTGCAGGGACAAAGGTGCAGCGACCTCCCCCACCCTTCTCACCCCACCACGCACCTCCCAGCTCCTACCAGGCCAGATACAGACGCGCTCCCTCCCATATGGGCAAGGAGACAAACAAGCTTTCCAGGCCCCAGAACCAGGACGGGCTACATAAGGCCCAAGGCAAAATGAAAACGTGGGCCCCTTGTTCAAAAGTCTTCAGAATTTCAAGACGGCAACAGCAGACCATGAAGTCGCCCTCGAAAACGGGGCCGGGTGGGACTGCATGGGTCACATCCATGATGCCAATCCTGCCCAGAACCCACACTATCCCCCAAACAAACTCCTCCCTCACCTGGGAAATGAGCCAAGTCAGGCGGAGTGGAGCGCCAGGGCCCCAAGGGTACTGGTCTTGGGAAGCAAGGGCTGCCCTGGCCCAGAGGCCCCACCCACTGCCTCAGGTGCTCAGGACCCCCGCACTCTCATCTTCCAGGTCACATCTGCAGGTAACTAGGGCTCTGCCCACCTGTAGCCTATAGAGTGCTGTCTTAGCTGAGGGTATCTAATGGTATAGGACTCAGTGGTCGGCAAACTCATTAGTCAACAGAGCCAAATATCAACAGTACAACGATTGAAATTTCTTTTGAGAGCCAAATTTTTAAAACTTAAACTATATAGGTAGGTACATTGTTATTAACTTAATTAGGGTACTCCTAAGGCTTAGGAAGAGCCACACTCAAGGGGCCAAAGAGCCGCAGTTTGCCGACCACGACTATAGGTTATAGAGCAGACTAATCCCAGCACCTCCTCCTTCACCTGCTGCTTAACCCTTGCTGGAGACGCCCTCTTTCCTCATCTGATCAACATTTAGTGAGCACCTAGGTCCTCGGCTATGGATTTAAGAATAATACTGATAATTTCACTCCAGAACAGTGCCTGCCCCTGCCCCTGCCCCGGGGATGTTCCCAGAAGTGGAAGAGGTAGTGTCTGAATAATGTCATTTGGGGTCGGACATTGTGCTGAGCAGGCCTCCTCACACACCTGATGTCGTGTCATCCTCCTCACAGCCCGGCCGGTGGGCATCGTGCTCCCTTTGGCCTGGGAGGGGGCTCCGGTTCTGAGAGTAACATGCAGAAAGCCCCATAGCTACTGACTTCAGTGAAGAGACTGGGATCTGGGCCCAAGGGTTTCTTCGATTCTAGCACAAACTGCTTCTAAACCTGCCTGCAAGGACCCCTGTCTGACCCAGGAGAGAGCCCATAAGTAGATGAACGCTGTGCAAAGGGCCCTCTGCCAGCCCCAGGCCAGCTCCCCTCTCCCAGCCCCAGTGTAAGAGGCACCCCATTCTGTCCTGGGTGAGTCCCTCCCCCTGTGTGTTCTATGTACCAAGCCCTTCTCTGAGTGTCTTTTGGACATCTACACATTTAGTCCACCCATAGCACCACGAAACAGGTACAATTCTCATGCCCATCTTCCTGGTGGAGAAACTAAGAGACAGGAGAGCGAAACAAATGAATGGCAGAGCTGGGGTTCCAACCTGGGCTCCATGGCCCCAGAATCCATCTCTCGACTTCCGCACACAGCTGGAAGCATCTTTCTCAAGTTCAAGTTCTGGCCCACCAGCAGCACCACCTTAGCTGTGTAACCTTCGGCAAGCTATTCGTTCTGCGTCTGGGTCCTTCATCTGTAAAACGCGGATAATAGCACCCACTTTGTAGGGTTGTTGTCTGGGCTAGATGGGTTAGCGGCTAACAGTTAGCCTATGTGGAGCACTTAGAACAGTGCCTGGCACCTCGTAAGCTCTGAATGAATGGTGGCCATTAGTGATATGACTGCTCACCTGTACTGCCTCTCCTGATGTCTCCTTCCCCTTCAGGTATATTCAACCTCCCATTCTCGACTAGTCCTTTCCCTATAAACATGCTATGTCTCTCAACTGCCATCAGAAACCCACCCCCACCTGTCCCCTGGCTGCCAGTTTCCATTCAGATACAAGACCCAGGGACAAGCTAGGCCTTCCGCTGTCCCCACATTTTACCCGCTGTCTCCTCACACCACCCCGCATTCTAGCTTCTGCCCCCCGCCATCCTGCACATACCGCTCTGGCCAGCGTCTCCAGTGGCTGCCCTGCTGCCACACTGAAGGGGCACCTCTCAGGCCTTATCTCCATCTTGTGGCATCTCCTTTGGCAGAGAGGACACTACTTCCTGTTATTGTCCTCCCACCTCTCTCCTCCTCATTCTCCGCCCCAGGCTCCTCCCCCTCCAACCCTGGAAGGGGAGCCCCTCCCAGCATTCCATGTTTTCTCATTCTGCCCACTTTCCCTCAGGGACCTCATCCAAATTCTTACCTCCACCACCACCCACAAGAAGACAACACCTCTCAGCTCCTGCTCGGGCCTGTCTGCAGAGCCCGATTGGCATGTCCACCTGCTTACCTGGCATCTCTCCTCCCCACCTCCCCTCCACCCCCCACTGGCCCAGAGCACTGCAGGCCAGTGTCCAAAATTAACCTTCCCTCCGCCCCTAAACCTGCTCCAGTGCTGCCTTCCCTGGGCACCTGAGCTGAGGGCTAGCCTTGCTCCTCCTGCCTCTGCCTCTGCCTCTCCCTCAGGCACCTGGGCACCGGGCCTGCCATCTCTCCTCCTAACAGCTGTCAGACCCTCCCCGAAATGCAACCTCCTCACACACACACACACCTCAACTTGGTTTCATCACCTTCTGCCTGGATCATTGCAATTGCGTTGTCGCTGGTTTCCCAACCTTGGTTCTCTTTCCCCACTAACCTAGTCCTCACGCTGCCAGAGGATCTTTTCTAAGGAAAAGATCAGAGTGTGTCCCTCTGCGTACCACAGCCTTCAATGGCCATTCACGATTAATTCCAGGCCACTCGGCTTAGCCCAGGCGGTCCTGCTTGCTGGTCCTGCCTCACCTCTCCATGCTCCAGCCAAACCAAACTAACTCCTTGCCCTTCTCTGGCGGAATCATGCTCTCCTGCCTCCCACCCCCTTCTCCCCTCTCTCTCCTTCCTTTACAGGCCCCACCTTCTGGAAGGGTCTTTCCCCAGTGCCCCATCTGTGCTCCTGTGGTCATAGAACTTAAGGATCCCCTTCCCTTCCCAGCACTGGGGAGGCAGGGGGGGAGGGAGTAGGAAGGGGAGGGCACCAGAACCAAGCAAGAGTAAGAGTGACAATAGCCAACATTCATTACCAGCCAAAGAACCAAGCTGAGACGGTGCTGACACTGACACTCACTAGGTATTTGAATTCTCCCAACAACATCGTGAGGGGTATTCCCATTTCACAGGAGGACAGTGAGGCCCTGAGAGATCAAGCAACTCCCCCAAAGGTAACAGCAGAGCCAGGATTCCAACCCAAAGACCAATCAGTCAGTGTGTTGGGTGAATCCAAGTCTTTTACTGAAGCACGGACCTCTGATAAGCACTGAAGAAGCAGGGGGTGAGAGAGGACAGAGGGGAGGGGAGCGGCGTTGCAGACGGAAGCAACAGCCTGCTCTGGGCTTCTCCAGCCGCCTCGGCCATCCTGAGGGAGCAGGAGCCCTGCTGCAGGCACTTCACCTGGGAGGGAGGGGCCAGGAGAGAGAGGCCTGGGAAGAAACCACTGGCAGGTGGGACAGGAGATGAAGGGATAAGAGGTCCAGGCTCTGACTCAGCTGGTTCCCAGGGAGAAGGGCTTGACCTGGACCACGTGGGATTAAAAAAAGGAGGTGCAGGCTGTCAGAGCCCTCCCTGTTCCCAGGGTGCTGGAGGCAGCCACTGCGGCGGGCAGACCCCTGCTGACCCCTTCTGCCTCGGTGGGGGAGGGGCAGGCTGGGGACAGGTAGGAGTCGGTTACAAGGCTGTGCCTGGGCGGAGGAGGAGCCCTGCCTCTCCCAGCTCCAGTAGCTGCTGCCCTGCCTCTCCCAGCTCCAGTGGGTCACCCTCCTCACGGAGGCCCTTCAGGGGCAGGACCAGCCTGAAGCCTAAAAAGCTGCCTCCGGGCACATGGCCTGGCCAGGCAGTTTAATCCCAGGTTAGGGGGAGGACCCTACAGCAGCTCCAGCTCTGCCCCCCACCCCCCAGCTTTCCCCCTTTCTGTCCTACCCTGGGAAGCTCCCACTTGCCTCTCTTTCTGTCCCCTAAAACGGTCCTAATTCCAGAGGGCTCCCTCTCCCCCACGAGGGCATGCTGGCAACTGCCCGAGTCAGGAATTGGCTGCCTGGTCTCAGCCGGACAGAGCCTTGTAGGCCTAAGACTCCAAGCAGACGAGGGGGAGGGTGGAGTTTGTAGGAGGTGGTCACATGACTGTCTGGGCTGAGACCCAGGGGCGCAACGTTAATTCCTTCTTGGTCACGTGGCCCAGCATTCCAGAGCTGCCTCTCCTGGGGTGCTGGCCGCCAGCGTTGCCCCAGGCACCCTCAGTGACCTAAACCTGTTCTCAGAGCAGCCCAGCCTCCTGGAGCTGTGGCTCCTGAGTCACTGCTTTCAGGCTCCAGATTTCAGATGTTCATTCCTTCTTGCAACACAAACCCAGGCCCCGCCCGAAGGGTTTGCACGGTAGACAGTGCAGTGGAGGGTGGGGCTAGGGCGCGAGGGGGTGACCTTCCAGGTGAGAGGAGTGCGGCCAGGCAGGGGTGAGTTAATTCCTGCTCTGTGCCTTGGCTGCCTTGTCTGTGAAATGGGGGTAATAACAGTCCCTACTGTGGGTATTTTCCTGTCAAAGGAACAAGTGGCCTTAGAGTTTGCCGCGATAAAGGAGAGTCGATGACAATGCCTAGCCCACGGTCAGGACCAAAGGCTACACTCAGTATGTTTCTCCCTCCCTTTTTTCTTTTAGCCACAGTTTCCCAGTCTGTCACCTAAGAAAGCAATTCTGCCAGCTTCTCGAAGCTGCCATGGGTGGGGGAGAAGGAGAAGACTGCAGCTATCGGTGAGGAAGGCACTGCACACTGCCAGGGACACCTGGCCTCCTGGGCCACCACCCCACCCCACTCCTTCCAGACAACCTCCCAAGCCACACAGGGGTTCCCTTAAGTAGCCCAAGGAACCAAAGCAACGTAGGTGTGGGCCAAAGACAGACAGACAGACACACACACACATACACGCACACACACACTCACACCCCTTGCTCAGGAGCCTCTGAAGAGGGGCGCTGAAGTCTTGGACCGGGAAGAACACTGACTGACTTTGGACTGAGTATCTTTTCATGCTGTTTGAATTTTTTTTTAATCATGTATATGTAATAACTTTTTAAAAATTAAAATCGTCTCCCCCTGGAATGGAGAAATGGTGGAGGGCTTTGCTTGCTATGCTAAGAAATTTGGACTTTCTCCCGTAGGCAACAGGGAGCCAAGGAAGGTTTCTAAGCAAGGACGGGACATGCTCAGTGTGTGAGAGAATGGGCTGCCACAGAGCCATGGCCTGCAGTGGGTCCACAGTATGGTACCCACGAAGAAGTAAGTGACCCCAAAAGAGACGGGACAACCAAGGCAGGCCCAAGAGTTCATTGTCACTTCTTTTTCCATAAAACAAGCTCGTAGTGGCAATATTCCCTATGGTAATTAGAACCCCCGCCTGCTTCCTGCCCACCTCTCTGTTCAGTCAGAGCTGAGGCAGAGCTGGGCTCACTCTTTAATTGAGTATGGGGGTGGCAGGCAGCTGAGAGAGACTGCAGAACAGCCTTGCTCCAGACCCCGGGTTGGACATACTGCTTCGACAGCACCACCATGCGTCCCCAGAAACGAGCCTAGGAAATGCCCTCTCTTTGGGGCTTCCCAGTGCCCCTTCTGTGGACAGCCTTGCTCACTGGTGCTGGCCAGGCTCACATCGAGACCTGGGCCCTGCGGGTCAGAAGTCAGAGGCCCTGGACAGAGAGCAGCATAGGAGAGTCCAGGCTTCAGGCTGCCTGGGCCTGACTTGCATATCAAGAATAGCCTTGGGTATTTAACCTCTCTGAGCTCAGTTGGCACATCCATAAAATGGAAGTCATCACACCCTCTTCATAGGCTGGACTAGAGCTTGGCCGGCATAATGTGCTTCTCCCCAGCACATCACACAGCACCTGGCAGGCTGCTTGTCTCCTTCACTTCCTCCTTCAGTGCCCTCTTCAGCAGTGGGGAGAGAGTGCCAGGCAGAGGTGGAAAGGCAGGAGGAGTCCTGGTCCACACTCCTTACTCTCTCCCTACTTTCCTCCATGCCCAGATGGCTGCGTACCTGGCTGTCTTTAAACCTTCAGAAGTTTCCAATCAGCAAAGGGAAAGGTGGTATGAAGGTCCACAGCTCAACGGTTGAAAAAAGACTCCACTAGTTGAGGCCCACCTGGTATTTACAGTCAGAAACCTAGAAACTTCTCTAAACATTCCCTTCCCCAAAAGGTCTGGCTGCAAGAGCCCAAAGAACAAATGCTTGTTAGGAAAAATACTGATCCCCACACCACCAGGTGCTCATTCTCCTTTGGCCCGTCTCATCATCACCCTTTCTCAAATACAGCTTTAGTTAAGCTGCATGTGCTTATGTTTTTAAAGAATGTCTATTTGAACTGTTCCCTAATAGGGATCCAGCCCAGGCTCTGCTTCTGTGTGACCTTAGGCAAGTTATTTCACCTCTCTGGCCCTCATCTCTATAAGGTGGATGGAGGAGACCTAAGTTCTAATCTCAGGTTCCATGGATGGGCTTTAGATGTGCATAAACCCCTTTAAAAATCAGGGAACACTGCATAGATCCCAGAAGGACACTGAATGGCAGGGGAGCCAATTGTAGAAAGGAGACCTTACAGTGGTACTGTATTCCCCCCCTTACATCTTTTGAATTTTGAACCAAAGGAATGTATTATCTATTCAAAAATAAATACATAACATTTATATTAAGAAGAAAAGAAAATGTATGCAAATCCATTTGAGTAGGCGTACCTGTAGGTTCTAGGAAAGAATCCATCATTTTTATCAGGTTTTTCTAAGGTGTCCCTAACCTCAGAAAGGTCTAGAAAGCATTTCACAAGATGACCTGATGACCCATTCCCAGTTCCAGTGTCCTTAATTTGATCAAGTATGAGAGAAAACAAAGTGAATTCCGGTACGCATTATACAACAGCCTGGGCTAGATGTACTCGGATCTTACGTTTAATAACGTAGACTTGCAGGCCCACGTGAGCTGAGCAGGTTGACATGTGAATGCCCGACTTGACGTTTTGGGTCTCCTATGGTGCAGCCTTCAGAGATCAAGGTAAATAGAATGACCCCAATCAACCTATTCTCTTAAAACCTTCTTCACTCTCTCCCTGGCTCGCACCGCTGTCCCCGCCGCCCTAAAGACACATCCAGCTTGGGTCAGCTGTTCAGACAACGCATATAAATAAATACAATATGGATTTTTAAGTGCTGGCCACTATGGCTCTCACGGGGGAGTTAGAAGGATGGACAATGGAGGAGGTGGGAGATCAGAGTGAACTGGAGATGAAGGAAGCCCAGGCTCACCCAGAGACCTCCGTCTGAATCTCTGAAACCCTCAAGAATCCCCAGGTACAGGGGAGGGAGATGCTTCCTAGGTCTGCAGTGTGGAAGGTTTCAGAGGAGGAGCAATCTAGCTGAGGGATCAAAGCAAGACTGGTTCCTGCCGCCAGACTAGCAGCTGAATTGGTCAGAGCAAAGAGAAAGGTCACATGGTTCCAAAAAAGGAGAAGGGAGTGAAGCCATTTAACAAATGGCCCCTGGCTATGGTAAACTTTAATTAACTGCACCATTATAATTCACTTCCAGTCTGAGTCCCACCCCAACCCACTTTCTCCCTCCCACTCCCTTCCTCCTCTCCCCCAGGTCTCATCAAGGCAGGTTTCCTTAGTGAAACCCACAGGCTGCCTTTGCCGGGTGCCTCATTATTATAGCTACTGCCTCTCCTGCTCATAATGCACCCAGAAACAGGACCGGAGTGGGGGGGAGAGAGGACAAGCTACACTGTTCTCAGCTCTAATGACAGGCCCCTTTCCCACCTCTGTGCACTAAATCAAAGGTCTTGTAATCCTGAAAGTTCCGGAAGGTAATACTATAGCAATGAAGAGACAGTGGCAGGCCAGCCGGCGCAGATGTGCACACAGGGGCAGATAGCAGGGTTCGCTCCCACTTGGAGTCACTAGGCAGCGCTCACAGGGTCCACGCCCAGACAGGTAATCCACACACCATGTACAGTTCAATGCTGTGGCCGCACCCACCACTCCTTCATTCAACGGTGGTTCACTTACGCCCGTGACACTCTATCTTTATTCTCAGGCTGCTGAGCTTTACCCATTTTAAGAGTGTGTGCCTTGAGAGTGGGGGTTGGGAGCACCTCAGAGGATCTTCCAGGCGAAGCATGCTTGGTTTTTATTAATGAGCTTAGGAGAAAAGCCAACCCAGACCTTTAAGTGAAATGTGTGATTGGTAGCCAGGCAAGGATGGGTTTTTAGAATTAACTCTTCCTACAGTCTGCTATGCATTATCACCCCAAGTTAATTACCCCTGAGGATGAAAATAGGTTTCATGACTCATAAGCACCAATACAACACTTGGCAGCAGATGAAAATGCAAGGACACATTTGCAGTAAGCTGACACGAATATCTATTTATATGTGGGGAGATTCTTAAAGAGGTGAGCCAGGCGCCTCCCATGCACCAAGACTAAGAGGCTGCAGCAGATCCATCAACTGCCATTTACACACATACACACACACACACACACACACAGTCATGGTTTCCACTACTTCAAGGATGGTGGTGGCAAGGCAGGAACAGAAACTAAAAGGGTGTTATTAACAGCAAGCCCCAACACCAACCCAACCTCCACACCTCCACACCGGTGATGTTCTGGGCTAACCCGTGATTTGTTTTTCCCCAAACCTGCCCGCACCCATACCACCTCCCTACCCTCTTGCTCCCTCGTTGTTGGGAGGGGGCACGCCAAAAGTCTTCCCTTATTGCTCATTTCTTGGTGGGAACTGTCCTGGCTCAGCTTGCCCCAACCAGGAATGGGGTGTGGCCAGGAATGGATTTCAGATCAGATCGCTGGTTGTTTTGCTTCCTCCCTCCTGTTTCTACTCTTGTTCCATTTGCCTCCCAGGGAAGTACAAGGTTCACACCAGGGTTGTTTGCCTTCCCCAGCTCTGGGAGGGCTCCAGTCTGGACGCTGCCAAGGGGGCTCAAAGCTCTAAAGAACATTCCTGTTTCCCAGTCCCCTTCCCCACCCCTCTATACCTCACAAATGCCACCAAAAAGCTGATTAGATGAATAATTGCATGTCTTCCCCAGGGAAATGGGTTTTATTTGATAGCGTAAGTGACCTTTACTCAGGAACTGGGTTTGGGGTGTTTTTTCTCTTCCTCTCACCCCGCAACTTTCTTCTAACCAGCTAAGTGTCCTGTCTTTAGAAATACTTGTCAAAAAGGGAGGGAAGAAAAACGTGTAATGAATGAGGTGAAATTGCTTTTCCAATGCATCAGTTGGAAGCTCCTGGCTTAGTAGTACATGCATTTGTTTCCAGTTGCCCACACCTCTCCTGTCTCCATTGATGGCTCTTAGTTCTGTGGCATTTTTGCTTTAAATGTGCAAATACAGTGATTTCTGCCACATCTGAGAGGCAAAGCACCGTAGATGCTCCCCTCCTCCCCCCACCGCTCACCCCCCCTTACACTTTACACAAGTCATAGTGCATTTGGGTATCAGTATATCCTCATGGCCACAAGGCAAGGCACCAAAAAGCATTCCTAACTGCCATCTGCAGCTGAGGCAGGGTGCATCCAGGAGAAAATAGAAATGCTGAAGAGTAAACAGAAACTGCTTAGTCAGCAACTGTCCCTGCCCCGGAGGTGAATGTAAATAGCCTGGTACTGAGAGGGGAGGGGCAGTCAGCCAGCACAGGGCCTTTTACAGATGCCAGCTCGGGAGAGCTTTCAAAGGCACCAGCATTTGTGTTCTAGCTGGAGGTGGGGAGTGTCCCCTAGGTTGGAACTGTGTGGCCTACCCCTAGAAAAACACACTTGCTGACGCAGGGCAGAATTAATATCAATTGAATTTATTACAAGTTACTAAGCTCCAAGGCACATTACAGTGTTCTGTTAACTACAGAAATGTATAAAGGACAAACAGAGCAAATTCTCCATGTCTAGCATTTCGCTCTACTGTTCAAAAGCATCCGTGCATCAATAAAGCAAAAACAAAACAACACGTGAAGATCCAACACATTCAGGTCAGTAGAAACAAACCCAAACATTTTCCCTCACAAACTTGCAACAAAAAACACCCCGCCCCCCCAACATCCCCTTTACCATTTTTTTGCAAACAAAACAGAAAAACAAAAACAAAACAGAACAACTTAAAGTGAAGACTTCAACACTTGGGGCTGTTTAGAAAGAAGCTGTCACCATTTTATAGCATCTTTTTTTTTTTTTAGGCAGCAACACTGGCCTTGGCAAAAAAAAAAAAAAGTCATTTTCTTTTGTGTTTTTTCCTTTTAGAGAGTGCATAACATTTACAAAAATACACACCAGCAGCAGTGTTGCTAAGGGCTATTAATTCTGTACCTAGGCAAACACCCTGCCACCAAATAAATGCTAACAAATATGATGCAAATGACCCAACCAATATTATACTGCTTAACACAAACCGGCTTATCCTTCAAATGAAGAAGTTACATACCTTAGTTTCAAAATATAGAAACATACGACGAAAATAATGTCTATACATAAGACTAACTTTTTGCAGTTTTGTTATATTCACAATTCTACATCTTGGGGCTGAGGGAAGGGAGGGCAGATGTGGAGAGGGGAGGGGCCCTCTGGATTGGAGAGGAGCTGGTCTAGGTCAAAGGAGGTGGCCGTCCTGTGGGTCCTGTGGTTCAAGGGTCTCTCTCCTTTTTCACTTTAACATCCCCAGCTAAGATCGTTGCGATTTCGCCCTGCATGAAGGCCCAAGGTACATTCGACCCAACGAGGGGGCATTTCTCTCCACTGGGGCAGTACACCTCGCCGGTGGCTCCCTGGGCCTTGATACTCTCTCTTGAGCAAGGGAAGCAGAATTTGTGGCTGGGGACGGATGGGCACTGAACGAAATGCGTGTCCTCCAAACGTTCGTGGCAAATAGTACAGCAGAGGGGCCCGCTGTTGGCCATAGGGGAATCCGGAATGTTTTGGGGGTGCACTTGGTCCATGCCCGGGTGGGTGCTAGGCGGCGGGGGCGCCACCTGCAAATTCAGGTCCCCGTTCCGTGAGGCCAAGCGGCGCTGCCCAGGCACAGAGGCCGGCGACACTGGGCTGCTGCTGTTGCGCCTGGCAGACGCCGTGGTGGAGTGGACGGAACTGCCATCCTTGGGCGAGTGCGCAGTGCCCAGAGTGTCTGCCACCGACATGAGGGCGGCCATGGGGGACGGACCGTTCTGAGGGGCTGACTCAGGCGGGGTGGTCCGGTTGGAGTGGGGTCCCAGGGGTGGAGGCGGCGGGGGCGGGCCGCCAGCCGCATGCCCCGGCGCCGCAAAGCCCCCGGCCGACATGGTGAGCTTCAGCGCCTCGCTCTGGTTCGCCATCCACTGCTGCCTCTGCTGCTCCTCACCCATCTTCAGCGGGCCCTCGGCGGAGTCGGGGGGCTCGGGGGATGCCTTTCTCTTGCGCAGGCTGGAAGCCGCACCCCGGCCCGAGGGGGTGGCAGGCGGCAGGGCCCCGGTCCCCGGGGGTGCACTGGGGGCGCGGCTTAGACTCACCAGCGCTGTGGGCAACATGGGGCAGCTGGCGTCCAGGTAGGGCTGGGGCAGCATGTCTGCACCGGGCACGCCCTCCTTGAAGAAGCGCACGGCCTCGGGCAGGAGGTCTCCAAGGAGGCGCCAGTCCCCGGACCCGTGCTTCTTCTCGTACTCCAGGTACTTGAAGCCGGAGGAGAGACCCCGGCCGAAGTCCTTCATACAGTCCTGGTACATCTGCTTGGCCACCCCGGAGGCGCTGGAGTACACGTTGCCCGAGCCCGTGGGGTACTCAATAAACAGCTTCAGCTCGTAGTCCATGCCGGGCTTGGAGACGGCGTCGAAGGCGAAGACGCGGCCCAGCAGCGAGTGGTCCTTCTTGAAGCGCACCTCGTAGGGCGTGCAGCCGGCCAGCGTGAGCAGCGTGTCGCGGACCATCTTGGGCTTGTTGGCCCACTCCTCCGCGCGGTTGCGCAGGCTTTCGCTCAGCTCCGCCAGGGCCTCGGCGTTCCGCTGTTTCTCCTTCAGCTCCCGCTCCTGGTCTGTGCTGGACACCGAGCCGGGTCTTTTGCCACCAGCACCCACGCCCACCTCAGCCACCGACACCGAGGTCGAAGACGTCGCGGAGGACGACGTGGCAGAGACGCCCGGCGCGCCCCCAAGACAAGCCGGGCCCCCGGGGGCCCCGGGGGGCGCAGGTGTCGGGG